AAAGTTTAATGGATGGGACTTTTAGGTGTGACAGTGAATAGGACTGCCAGAAATAACAGTGAGACTATATTTCATCTGGCTTCAAGAAATTCATGTGTTCTCTCTGTTTTCTACAGGTTCCTGGATATGAACAGAAGTACTACACCCCATGCTCTGAGGAAATGTTTTTTGTGGACATGGTGATGGAATTGGGATGTTGGGGAATTGTTCCTTCCTTTTCCCTTATATTTACTCTTTTTTCAGGAAACATGAATTGAGACCAGTAGCTCTTATTGTCAGCCATCTTGCACTGGCCAGTACATTGTGGATTCTTAGTGGAGAAATTCCTCAGACAATGGCAGCCTTTGAGTTGCAGTATTTCCTGGATGACGTTGCATGTAAACTTGTCTTTTATTTTTACAGAATGGCCTGGGGAAATTCTCTCAGTACCACCTATATTCTAGGTGGCCTCTGGGCCTTCAGTATCAATCCAATGATTGTGAGAAGGTCAGAACTCAAATCGAAATCCATAAAACATATTCATTCTACCTATATCCTGAGTTGGGTGTTTCATTTGCTGGTGAATATCATTTTTTCCATGAGAGTGTCTGGCCAAAAAAATGGCAGAAATAATACTGTGAATTTAAATTTGAAATATTGCTCTCATCTTTTCTTTGGTATAATTACAGAATCAGTATGTTTATATTTTTCTCCTCTATTGATATTGTTTGTTTGGGATTCATGATATGGGCTGGTGGAACCATGATATGTTTCCTTCGTAGGCATAAACAGCAAGTCAGATATATTCATAGCACTGGACAGTTTCCTCAAATATCCCCAGAGAGCAGGGCCACAAAATCCATCCTGCTACTCCTGAGCACTTTCGTCTTATTTTATTCTCTCTCCTCCACTTTTGAAGCTTATATTTTTCTTTTTGAGAACCCACGGTCATGGCTTGTGAATACCAGTGTGATTCTAACATCTTATTTTCCAACCATCAGCCCCTTTTTGCTCTTAAAAAGCAACATCTATATCTTTCATTTCCCTTCTTCCTGCTGAGGTCAGAGAACTTCCCTAGCTATTGGCAGGATTGCCAATATTCCCTCGGCTGTTCACTTCACCGTGAAATACCTTCTCCGAACTACTTCTGTTTTACACACAGCGCTGAGGAGAAGGTACCTGCAATAGAGTCTGTGGGAAACCCACACCCTAGAGGGACAGTGACACAAATGATGTGGCTGTAGGTGCACGGGGTGCTGCAAAGAGAAGCTCAGGGCAGTGTGTTTAAGATCTTCATTAAGTACAATGTTTAGGAGGTCACATTTGGCTGGATTCTGCTCTTGCCAAATTAAATGTTTATCTGACCTTCTAAAAAAAATCAGAAGAGTGAGAGATTACAGCCAAATTCCCACACAGGTCCATTTTCGTCAGCATGTCCAGAAATCCCTACTGCTCTAACCTTTACAAGGAAAATAACTTTGAAACAATCAATCCCTTCTGGGTTTTGTTTCTGCTTTCCTCTGCTCTTTTTTTTTTTTTTTTTTGAGTCGATCTAGTTATATAGTTCAGATTGGCCTTGAACTCACTATGTAGCCCATTGCAGGCCTTGAACTCACAATGATCCTCCTGCCTCAGCCTCCCGAGTGCTGGAATTACAGGTATGTGTCACCACACCTGGCTCCCTTTTTGGATTCTAATCTAATTCATCAGAAATCTAATCTAATTCATCAGAACTCTCATTCTATTTTATGAAGTGAGGTGTTGTCCAATTCTAGAATCACAAGTAAAGGCCAATTTGGATTATTAAATTACATTTGTTGTACTTTTCTTTTGATCCTTTGTATCTGCAGTTTAGATTGCTCCCTGAATATTTTGGAGACGCTAACCAGCCATAGTGGGTACTTTAGGCATATTGGCAAGCGTGCTTCTACAAGATGTACAGGAAGGGACAGGGTGAGGCAGGGGATTCAGGCAAGTGGGAAGGAACTACTAAGGAAATGCACAAAAAAACACAGTTCCTGAGGCTCTGCACCTGGGAGAATGATGCATTTAATTTTTGTGAGCACTCCAGAGGGTTTTGATAGATCAGTTTAGATCTGAATCAGCCCAAGCAGTGCAGAATACAAAAGACAGCTGTGGTCTGCTCTCAGAGTGTAGAGCTACTGCTTGTTCTATTTTTAATTGTCCCACACCCATAAGCAGAGCATGTTTCTTTTCCTACCTTTAATAAATTGTAAAACCTTGTTACCTTTTGCACTTGTTTTGTTTAATTCTTTGTTCAGGACAAAAACAACGCAGAAAGAATCTCTAGAAGGAGCCCCCAGAACCCTAAAACCTGGTAACCAGGGAACATATCAAGAATTGAAAGCAGTCTTGTGTTTCTGGTCTTCCACCAATACGAGCATTGGTTAGGAGCAGAGGTTATAGAATTGGAGTTTGACAACTTGACTAGGTATTACAGATTAGGCTAAGAATGTATGCTGGAAATCCCAACAATAATTTCAGGGAATTTAAGGATTTTACCAAGAAAGTAATTTTACTAAGAGAGAGAGTTTAATAACTCTGAGGCTGAGGCAGGAGGATCACTGTGAGTTCAAGGCCTGCAATGGGCTACATAGTGAGTTCAAGACCAATCTGAATTATATAACTAGATCGTCTCAAAAAAAAAAAAAAAGAGTAGAGGAAAGCAGAAACAAAACCCAGAAGGGATTGATTGTTTCAAAGTTATTTTCCTTGTAAAGGTTAGAGCAGTAGGGATTTCTGGACATGCTGACGAAAATGGACCTGTGTGGGAATTTGGCTGTAATCTCTCACTCTTCTGATTTTTTTAGAAGGTCAGATAAACATTTAATTTGGCAACAGCGGAATCCAGCCATCTTGCCTAACAAACAGTAGACTGTTTATTGGATCAAGCAAGCCCAAGGACAAATGAATTAGAAGACATTTGAGATAAACTGGTGGAAGGGATGAAGAGTGGGGTAAGGATGATAGGAGTCAGCATGAAGAGGACCACATAAACTTCATAAATACTTCCTTTAGCAGGAAGTATGTACTGAACTCAGCCATTATTTTGTAAAGGGTTGTTTGAGAAGTTCTGGAGGGGAAGGTGACTTACAAATTTATCTCCCTTGAGCATCTAAGAGATTATGATGGGATTTCTTGATTTTGAGAAACCAGGTAAGCTGTAGTTTTGGTGTAAAGATGATGCATTCTGTTTTTAGCACATGGAGTTTGTTGTGTGTCTAAGGTACCTTTCTCATGCAGGTCATGGATCACACATGTATGTGTGGACAGTGCCTGCATGGAGGGCTTGCTTTGAAGAGATACTTTTGACCATCAGCAACACAGATTAGTGACAAGACCTTAGATAGGGAGAGAAAGGAAACTGGAGAGTAAAGAGAAAAGGGCTGAGACCTAGTAACTAAGCTTCACTTAGTAATCAGAGAGAGGAGGTGGAGTCACATTTTTAGCTCATTCATCCATTCTATAAAGAATATTCCAGCTGGGCATGGTGGCACATACCTGTAATCCCAGAACCCAGGAAACTGAGGCAGGAAAACCACTGCAAGTTCAAGGCCAGCCTGGGCCACTCAGTGAGTTCAAAGCCAGTCCAAATTCCATAATGAGACCCTGGCTCAAAACAAAGGAATATTCAATGATTTATAACTATATCCCTGTCACTGTGATAGGTGATATTGAATATAGTAATAAATGAAATAGAAATATAAAACTGTCCCTATGAAGTTTACATTCTGTTGGTAGTGGCCTAAAATGTTAAACACATGGTAACGATATAGAAGGTAGGTGGCAAAGCTGATTAGGGAAATAAGAGAAACTTTTGAATTACAAGATCTCAGAAGGGTACCAAGTAATTTCCAAGGGCCCTTCACATAGAGCTTTTCGCGGGTGTTCCCAGGACCTGTGGATTGCATATGACACAGACACAGGAGGAGCTCACTATCTTGACCCCTCACTACAGCCCACTCTGCATCAGAATGTACTTTTATTTTTGCATTTATCCTTTCTTCTCTTTGTTTGGCTCAAGTTTGCTCTATAGAACTAGTTTTTTCCTTACCCCTAACACCTCACTTTTCAAATAAACCTTTAGCACTGATGTCTCATCCAATTCTTTGTTGAAGGCAAGAAGGACCTGGAATACTTTTAATTGGTGAGTCATTTCTAAGGGAACGAGCCGATAACGGTAACATTATGTTGTTTCAGTGATGGTGAATGTTCTACTGAAAGGTAATGATTAGGGGGATGACAAGGAGGTTCTTGGCTGTGTCAGTTTTATTCCCAAGTTTACGTTTTTCTTGGTTTTTTACATTTTAAAATTTGGTTTGTTTTCATAGAAATGACTGCAACATTGTGGCTTAACAAGGTTATTTGCAAAGTTACTGGGAAGTTCTCTTCATGTAAGTGGCTTGGTTGTCTCCTGCTGGTTTTTACCATCAAACAAATCATCCATCTCTTCACGAAGCTCCTGGCTTCATTTTTCCTGGGTTATGACACGAGTGATTTCATTTTGACACAATAATTTCTCGATAAAAAAAAAAGGATATTGGATTCTGAACTCTCATGTAAAGTACATCTCTGCAAACATAAAATCAACCAATTCTTTACTTCACTCTACAAATTTATTCTATGTAAACAGCACACAGAATCCTGCTGGGGTTTGAGATAAGCAGACCAAACCAGCTACATCTTGACACGATTTTACTCTGAGTGTTCTTTAAAAGTCATATTCATTTACTTCTCTCTATAAAGAAAAATATATTATTTATGTGGACCGCCCAAGAAGAACAACCCTTCTCAGACAACCGAGTCTATACGCTGCTGCTAGAATTTTCTCAAACCACCCGCCTACACTTGGGCTGCCATAAGGGCGAGCCCAAATTGCATGCTGGGATCAATCTGAGCCATGGGACTCCTCCTGGCTTCGCGGGGGTTGCAGGGTAGGGTGTCTCCTCAGGTGAAGGACTCCATTTCCCAGAGGCCACCGCGCCAGCGCCAACAAATCTGCTTCCGGTTTCCGGGGATGGAGGACCAATGTCTTAGTGGGGCGAGGCCTTCAGGTGAGAGGAAGGAGTCGTCTGAGGGAGGGGCTTCTGGCCACCCGCTGCGAGTGCGGGAGTTCCAGGTGCGTTTGTCCGCGTGCTTATGGTAGAGGAGGGTAATTATAATCGCGAGTGACGGAGGTGAGAGTGGGGGAGGTGTGCCTGTGTGGGGGCCTTGTGTGCAGGACCAGACGGCCCTGTGGACGCTGAGGGCGCTGTGTGGTGGCCGTGAATGTCGCTGTTGCCGGGCTCTCGGCTTCGGCTGCTGCTTGCGTCTCTCGGGCTGCAGCACGGGACCGGCCCCGATATGGGTAACATTCTGAGTTTAGGATGAAGCGTTCCACGACAGTGTACCGATTGGGCATGGGATGGAAATTTGAGGTACCTTTGAGAGCCCCCCGGAGGCTCGGTACAAGTGAACTACGGCGATCTTACAGCTCTGTCCCCAGCAGCCATTATGCATACCCAGACAAGTTCCTACTGCTTTTACTTGGGTTCCCTTTTGTGCGAAATGAGGGAAAGTGGCGTGGAAGATGCTTTCAGGCTTGGTCTGCTCTGCGCACCAGGAAAACCCTGAGGGATGGTCCCTCTTGCCTCCTCGTCCCATCGCGCCATTATTCAAAAGAAGGATCGGTAGAAGAATGAGAGCATTATTGCTACATGACTAAAAGTCGAGAGTGAATTTGTAGTTGAAGAAATGCAGTTTTGATTTTCTTTATTTATTTTTGTTGAGATTTTAGAATGTAGAGGACAAACCAAAATTCAGTAAAGAAGGGAGGTGTGCAAACTGATACCCTACGATTGTGGATTTTTTTTCTTTTTTCAATAGGCCAGGCTACTTTGTAACGATTGTGGATTTTGTATCCTTGGACTATCTCTTCGTTTTTCGCCTTTCCACTTAATATTCACGTTACCATTTGACAGGTTTTTCACATCATCCTGTGCATATTTTTCATAAGATGCCAAGGAAATAAAACTCCAGTTAGACTTGGGTTTAGTAAGGAAGAGACCAGTGGTTACATGGAATTACGTGCCAGGTATCTTTTGGTCTTTACAGAGCTCTTCTTTTCCAAGCTGAGGAAGAATGGAGATGGTTAAATAATTTCATTTCGTCTGTGAGACTTTCAGGAGTGGGAAAGTGACAGACAGCACAAGATTTGGTATCAGGCACCAGAATTTTACAGGGTGTCCATGAAATTTGTAATACTAGTGCTGATAGTGCTGGGGTTTGGCAGCACTGTTGTGGGCTTGTTTTTTTGAACTTACTATGTGGCCTCTAATTTGCAGAGATCCTCCTGTTTCAGTCTTCCAAGTGCTGAGATTACAGGTGTGCCCCACCACCCTGGCCAGGCATCTTGGAGGGTTTTTGTTGGGGGGGGGGGGCTTTGAGAGGCAGGGCAGTGTTGTGGTTAAGTCAGGGATGTGAGTCTGGAGTACCTGGGTTAGAATCTGGGTTTTGTCTCTTTTGGCTTTGTAGTAAACATTAGAATGAATTAATATTGTAAAGTCCCTTAGAGTAGTGCTGGGCATCTTAGTAAGTTTGTGATCAGTTTAGGTCTCCTCAATTTTCTATATGAGATCTACTTTTTTAGATTACATGCATGAGTAAGATCATGTGTTATTTGTCTTTCAGTGCTTGGCTTATTTCACTTAATATAATGTCCACCAGATTCATCCATGTTGTAGCAAATGACAGTTTCCCCATTTTATGAATCAGTATCCCATTGTGTATGTGTGCCACATTTTCTTTATCCATTCATCCACTGGTGAGATTCCATACCTTGATGAGAATCCTGAAGTAAATGTGGGAATGCAACTATTTTTGAGATTCTCTTTTCTATAATGGCTATATTAATTTACATTTTCATCAGTAATGTACAAAGATTTCCTTTTGTCACATCCTCATCAACAGTTGTTATCTTTTGTCTTTCTGATAATAGCCATTCTAATGAGTATGAGGTGATTGCTTATTGTAGTTTTTATTTCCCTGATTTTGATGATTGGTGATGTTAAGCATTTTTTCATATATCTGTTCATTATATGTATATCTCCTCTTGGAAGGTGTCTACTCAAGTCTTTGCCCATTTTAAAAATTGGGTTAAATCGTTTGAGCACCTAAAAAGTTCCTGTGTAGATGTTTTGGATATTAATCCTTTGTCAGATACCTAGTTTGCAAATATTTTCTCTCATTTTGGTGGTCATATATTTCCTCAGATGTTCTTTGTCATGGGAGTATCTTATTTCTCCATCATTTAAATTTTTTTTTTTTTTAAATTTTATATTTTGGGTACCAGATATTGAACTCATGACCTTATGCTTGCCAGGCAGGCACTTATGCCACTGAGCTAGATCCACAACCCCTTTCCATCAGTTTTGAAAGATAGTTTTGTGGGGCACATCAGTCTGGGTTGAAGGTTGTTTTCCTTTAGAACTTGAACTCTCCAATATCTCCTTGATGTGAGGGTTTGTGTTGAGAATTGTGATTCTGATGGGCTTTCCTTTATAAGTGATTGTTTTTTTTCTCTAACAGTTTTTAAGATTCTATTATGTTGAATTTCTGGAATTTTCACTATGATATACATGGCTGTAGGTTTTTTTTTTTTTTTTTTTTTTGATTATGGCAAATTGGAATTATGTACGCCTCACTTATATGTATGTCAGATTCTTTTTCTCTACAGGAAAGTTTTCTGCCATGACGTTCATGAACAGTTTTTAAAAAAATATCATTTGTGCCATTTCCTGCATTTTCATTGACTCCAGTTAATCTTAACTTATTCTTGTTTGTCTCAGCTGGCAGCTGCTGGATTGATTCCTCTTGGTCTCTTGCTATTTTTTGTTTGTTTATTGGTTCGTTGGTTTAAGGGATCAAACTCACCACCCTGTGCTTACCAGGCAAGCACTTGAGCCACTGAGCTAAATTCCTGGCGCCCCAATTCTTTTTGTTGTTTTTTTGTTTTTTGAGGTGGATCAAACTCAGGACCTTGTGCTTGGCAGGCAAGCACTTATGCTGCTAAGCTATATCCCCAGCCCAGCCCTCACTATTATCAAGAAATCTTTCTTTTCATGATTACCAACTGCAAATCTGTCTTTTAGAGCTGAATTTTTGTCTTCACATTGGCTTAATCTACTGTGACTACTTTCAGTGGAATTTTTATTTTCCTGGATATCTGCTTGAATCTGCTTTAGGGATTCCATTTCAATCCTATGCTGAGCATTCATGGCTTCCACAATTTGCTTAAGCTCATCTATTTCTTTTGTCCGTATCTGCCCTAGAGTCACTATGCATAGTCTTCATTGTAGACACTATCTATGCAGTTATTTGAGAAATTATTTCTGATTTGATTTTTTTCCAGAGCCTCATTCAATTGCTTTGTTGTTACCACTTTAGAGAGACCAGAGAGGAGGTTTTGAGTTGCCCCACCTCATTACTTTCTGGGTTTACATTTGGTGAACTGGATGTCAGGGGTTACATCTTATTTAAGTGTCTTCTCATTTTCTTTTCTTAGTTTAATTCCTGAGGTGATGCTTGTAAATTGCCTATAGTGGGTTGCTTTATTGCTAGTATTTAGAACCTTTAGGTGATGACTTCTTCCCCCAGATATCTTCCACGCGTAGCTGGTTTTTGGATTTTGAGTCTGTTGGAAGATCCTACATTTTCAATTTGTTGGAGTTGAGAAATTGTTGCTTGTTGGGTTCTTTGGCACTGTGCCACAATATTTTCTATGTGCCTTAGTCAATCTCAGTCATAGAATACCATGGTGAACAGCTGTTTTGAACCAGTATGGCCACAGTAATACCATTAACATCAAACACATTCTAGAAATTACAAACTGAGGTAACTGTTAATTTGCCACATTTAATTGGATGAACTAGATTTGTGGTTATATATCAAAATCTAAAACATCAGAAAATTTTAAGTAGTGCAAGTCCATAATATGTCAATTTTACCCTTTAGGGTTAAAATTTAAAATAGGTTAAGAAGAAAATAGAGAAGTGGAAGAAAAGGAGGAGATTAGAAGAAAGGTTGGAGAACAAAGGGGGATCATGCTAACTTTGGGAAACTGATATAGGAGACCGGAGGGAAAGAGAGAAGGAAGAGATCTTCAAAGGACAGAACATAATCACAACCATAAAGAAGTGAGAAACCACATTCACACTCATATAAAACAAGATTAAACAATGTCGGAGAAAAAAAAGCAAAAAACAATGATAGCAACAAAACCAGAAAAACCAAACAAATGGGGGAGGGGGAGAAAAAGTCCACTTCCAGGTTGTTTCTGCTGTCATTGGCAGACAACATGTGGAGACAGAGTCCTGATCCATGCCCATTTACCCCAGCAAGCCAGCAGTGGCTTTTTGGTGGCATAGTGGATAATCCCAGTGTGCCTACCTGTGATAACTCGGACCCCGGTATAAAATCCAAGGAAGTAAGAAATTAAAATTTGGGAAGCCAAAGGCTTTATTAGGTAAAATCCAGGCCTGGTGACGAGTCTCCGGGAGCCAATTTGGAGACTGCGCACCTCACAGCTAAAAGTCAGGACTTTTTATCTTGTAAATCCACAAACAGCTGCTGGTCACACAATGTAAGGAGGGGGATGGGGGTATGACGCACTTACAAAGCAGAAACGACAATTCCAAGTCTCCCTGCATACTAGCAAGTTTAGATAAGAAGAAATCTTGTCTTTCTTAACAAAGAATAGAGAAATCTAACAGCAGTTAACAACCTTAGCTACCTTACTTTAGCACCACAACTGTTCTATTTGTAGAGGGCAACAATAGTTAACATATCAATTAGGTAAGATTTTACAATTCTTTACAGAGGAGAACATTGATTAACATATCAACTCTTTGCCCAGAGGGAAAGGAAAACACATTTACAGTAAGGCCAAGTTACAGGTATTGTTATGATATAAACGAAGCTATTTTTGTGAAGAATGTACAATCTAATACAATATAATGCAATTAACACAATTTGTGACGGGCTACCGGTAGGGAAGACCCGTGTTGTCAGGCCTTTGTTTTATGGCCTTTAGGAAGTTTAAACTTAACCTAGTTAGATTTGAAGGGAGAAGGGGAGAGGAAGTAGCAGGTGGACTTATACAGAACACATCTTACTGCTTGATAGTTAGGAGGCCTTAGGTTATAACACTACCTTTTCTGGCCAAGATCAAATTCATTTGGCCTGCAGTCATCTGGGCACCTTCTCTGGGCCTAAGCCCAGCTGGGAGCTGGTAGATGGAACTAGCAGCAGCTCTGAGTTCTGAGGTCCGCGGCCACTCTCCTAGATGGCTCCTGGGCAGTCGCTCACTCAAGTGAGAGGACTGAGCCCTCAGCACTCACCCCCAGCCAGTGCAGTCCTTCACATCCACTCTTCCCCTTTACTGCTGCATCTCTCCATGGAGACTTGGGGTTGCCAGCTGTCACTGTGTGTCCACAGGTTTGAATTGTTTCGCTTGCATGGTGTCCTTGTCAGGGAGAAGGCTCCACCAGGTATCTCCTTGTTCGTTGAAGTTTCTCTCTTCACTGTCCGTGGGCTTCAATTTGTGCTTCAGAGTCTTCCTGGGACCGGGGACCCACTTCCTTCCTTGCCTGCTTTACATTGCTATATTCCATTGTCTGGGCGGTGACTCTCATAGAGGCTGTTTCTCTGTTGCTTACCACTCTACCATCTTGACACTCTCACCTTTCTCTCATTTTGTAGATTGTCTCTTCACTGTGTTGGTTGTTTCCTTTTTTGTGCAGAAACTTTGAGATATAATCTCATGTTTTCTTACTTTTGTTTGTATTTTTGGGGTTATATGTAAAAAGTTACTGCCCCTTCCAGTGTTGTAAAGTCTCCCCTCTCCCCACTGCTTTTTTTTTTCTTTTTTTGGTACCGGGGATCGAACTCATGACCTCACACGCTTGCCAGGCAGGCACTTAAGCCACTGAGCTAAATCCCTGACCCTCCTCCTCTTTTTTTTTTTCTAGTTGTTTTAGTGTCTTATATTTTAATTCTTAATCCATTTTGAATTGATTTTTGGACTTGATAAGAGAGGGGTGTCTAATTTCATTTTACATGGAGATATTCTGTTTTCTTATTAGTAGTAATTGAAAAGTTTTTTTTTTTCTTCATTGTACTTTGTTTCCAATTTTGTCAATATCAGTTGGCTGGGCAGGAGATGTAGCTTAGTGGTACAGCACTTGCTGTATTCCATCTCTAGTAACATACACATACACACACTTTGGTTGGTTGTAGAGACATAGGCTTATTTCTGGGCTCTAAATTAGGTAGGGTGATGCTTTCAGGTTTGTTTTTATTTTGTTTATTCATGATTTCTCTGGCTATTTGGGCTCTTCTACAATTCTGTACATATTTTAGGATTTTTTTTATTCTGTGAAGAAGATAGGACAGAAATTCTTAATCTGTGTTCCTGTGACTCCATGTATGGTCTTAGGGACCACATATCTATGTCTGAAGTGTTGTTGAGATTGATAAATGTACCAGGTGTGGCAGCTCACACCTGTAATCCCAGCACTCCTGAGGCAGGAGGAGGATCACCATGAGTTTGAGGCCAGCCTGCACTATGTGCTGAGACTTTATCTTAAAAAAAAAATTTGATAAATGTGAGTTTTGTAGGGAGAGAAAGTACATAATTTTGTAAGATTTTCACAGGTATTCGTGATCCAAGAGAATTAGGTCTGTTGACTTAGAACAGGGTTTTTCACGTGGGTGTGTGTGCTCTTTGTAACTAGGGGGCAGAGGTCAGGAAAGTTGCTGAACATTTTGTAGTGCAGAACAGAAGGATCTGTTTGGAGCAAGATATGGGGCCCAGTCCTAAACCTGGTTGTGCATCCCAAAAGTGGAGGACTGGTTGGAATCCCTCCCATTGGGGTATTTTGTAGAAACTTCTGGGAAGTGCTCTTCATTCGTACCCAGCACAGCAAATTCCCTGGGAATTAGGAAGATTCGGTTTGCGCAGATGCCTGCCTGCTACCAATTTGTGTGTGTGTGTGCGTGTGTGTGTGTGTGTGTGTGTGTGTGTGTGTGAGAGAGAGAGAGACAGAGAGAGAGACAGAAAGTGTGTGCGTACACGTGTGAATGTGAAGGTGGAAGCTGTGGGGGAGGCATGTGTTTGTGGAGGCAATTGAGAAATAAAAGTGGAGAATGAAATGGTTATATTGATTTTAAATTGTTTTGGGGGCCCTGAGACACAGCAGTGATTTAAATCCTTTTCTTTTGTTCCTCAGGAGAGGAAGACTAAAGAAGATTAACCAACCAATTTTTGTAATTTTAAAAACATGGTCCGTGTAAGTTGGTCTTTTTCTCTTCCTCTAGAATCTGATAACTTTCAGGTTAAGTTAGATGACTGCTATCATTTGTCTTGAAGCTTGCTACCTAAGAATCCAAGCTTCTTTGGCTCAGTTTGTGTCATTAACAGTAGATGTTGGAAGTTTTAACGCTTTTCATCTTTGTGCCTTTCTTTCCCACCAGTGTTTTGTTTTCTTTGAATACATTACTCAGCATCTGCTCTGTGCTTGCTCCCAGTCAGGGAAATGCAGGAGCAGTAGAGGAGCTGCTCACAGGGGAAAAGGTGTCCAGGGAGCTTATGAAGTTAGAGATGATTATGCCATTTGACTGCATTTGGGAAAGCCCTGAAATTTCTGCCCAAATATGAACTTCGATTCTCAGAATGGGGAAATATCTTAAAAGACATTGACTATCCAAAACATATAAGTACAAAAAGTAGTTAATCTAATATGTCAAGATTGGCAGGGTGGTAACAGGCCTGTAATCCCAGCACTCTGGGAGACTGAGGCAAGAGGATTACAAAGTCAAGCCCGGGCTGGACAACTTAGTAAGTGAAACCCTATCTCAAAATTAACAGAAGCCGGGAATGTTGTTCAGTGTGAAGGCCCTGAACCTAGGACACAAAAATAAAAACAGAAAAGCTGATACATCAATTATGTGGATGGTTAGTTTATAAAAGTCACTTGCCATGATAAGAAAAAAAAATTCTTCTGATATATTTGACACAATGATTAACTTAAGGATTGAGAATGCTTGCTCTGTGCTTGCTCCCAGTCAGGGAAATGCAGGAGCAGTAGAGATATTTAGATATTTATTAAGATATTTTATATAAAAGTTGGGACATATCATTTTTCAAAAGTGAATTTTATTGGTACTTTTTAAATATACATAATGATAGCATTCATCACAGGGAATTTGTACTGTACCTGATATATCTTCATTCTTTTTTTCCCCTTTCCTGCCTTCAACCCTTTTTCCCTTCTTTATTTTTAAAAGCTTAGTTTCTGTTGTTTCCTTCTTTTCCCCCGCCCCCTTACCTAGTTCCCCTTATCCTTTGAGTATTTTCTACTTGTTTCACAATATCTATTATATCTAATTTTGGTCCATATTAACCTTTTCTCTGGTGTGAGAAATCATGCAATATTTGAACATGTGTGTCCAAATTATTTCTCTTAAGAGTATAGTCTCAAGGTGCATGCATTTACCTAGAAATGTCTGAAGGGTATCCTTTATGGCAGAGTAGTACTCCATTGTATTAAAACAGAAAAACAAACAAAAAACACATCTTTATCCATTCATCCATTGATGGGCATTTGAGCTGTTTCCAAGATCTGGGTATTACAAACTATGCTACTGTAAATATGACGTGTCATCTTTTTTATTGTTGTTGGTATAACTTACAGAGTAAAGATGATATAGAAGTGCTAAGCATTTACTAAGCATTTACTAAGCATTGTGAAGCAGATTTGCAGCAGGCGGGGCTGGGGTTTTAGCTCATGGGGCTGGGGATTTAGCTCAGTTGGCATAAGCGTGTGGTGGTGAGTTTGATCCCTGGTACTGATTAAAAAATAATTTGCAGCAGGCACTGTGATTATTTATTAGAGAAATGCACAGTGTTTCACCTGTTCCTAGACATAAGTGTTATTCTGTAGCATTGAGATTCTTCAAGAACATGCAGATGTTTTGCAACTTTCCATTTTGTTTCTTTCATACAGTTTAGTCCTTTACCTCCTCTCCTTCTATCTTGAAACAGTCTTGTTCATTTTCACTATAACATGTGTGTTTGTGGTTTCAGGGGTCAGTGACCTTCAGGGATGTGGCCATCCACTTCTGCCGGGAAGAATGGGAGTGCCTGGACCCTGTTCAGAGAGACTTGTACAGAGAGGTGATGTTGGAGAACTACAGCAACCTCATTGCAGTGGGTAAGGTCATCTGCTTCTGTTAATGTAGTATGTGTTCTCTGGGACATGAGCTTCCCTCATTGTAAATTAGTCAGTTTATTTAGAGTAAGAAGTGTTTATTGAGAGAAAGAAGGTTTCTAAGAGGGAAAGAAGGGGAGTGGGTGGCCTGCTTCTCAAAGGAGCTTTCTGGAGTAAAATCACAAGATGAGGTGGGTGTAGGGTGGGATAAAACTATGGTTAACTAATAAGATTACAAATATAGTCTCTTAGATAATGTTGATGCATTGGAAAATCACAAGGTTGTGTGAGGTGAGGCAAAACTAAGGTCAACCAATAGGAGTACGAGTATAGTCACTTAGATAATGTTGATTAAATGGGGATCAAATGGAGAAGCAAATCACAGAGCAAGTGCACGTAGGACTTTCCTGGAAGGGGTGGGTTAAGGGGGTTTTGGTCCTCCATCCAGGGTGATTGGTGTCTATTTAGAATATAATTACTGCTGTTCATCCCTAGGGGGAATATATGGCAGTAGTCATTCCTCTTTGTCCTGAGGCCTGTCCTTCAACAATGCACCTCCAACTACAAGTGTCTTCTTTTTCTTCTTCTTTTTTTTTTTATTATGGAGAAAAATAAAAAAAAAACCAGAAATAGGGTACAAGTTATACAGAATTTCAGAAAAAATAAACAATAGGAAATCACTAGTTAATAGATTACATATTGTTATCTTAGAAATAGTTGTTCAAGTTACAAAATTAAAGCATATAAAGTGGACTTTCAAACAGTGAGACTGGAAACAGTTTTGTTCAATGATCCAACAAAACTCAGTAATATGGTTATCTGTCTTATACACTTAAATATATATGTGGTTATATTCTTTAGAGCACTTTCTTTTCTTTTGTACAATGACAATTACACATTTTGGGTTTATTACTCTCACAGTTCTTACTACTTTTTTTTGAAGAGAGTAAAACCAAATGTGACATAACAGAACAGAGTCAGTCAAATCAGAAGGATGAACATATGGGGGCTGGGGATTTAGCTCAGCGGCTTAAGCACCTGCCTTGCAAGCAGGCGGTCATGAGTTCGATCCCCGATACTGAGAAAAATGAAAAAGACCAAAAAAAAAAGAAGGATGAACATAATAGATAATGTAAAAACAAAATACAAGGTGATCAACAATGGTTACCATACTGCCTCTTGCTATCTTAATAAGAATTGCCTATATCATCAATTATAATAAAATTGAACAAAACAGTAAAGAATAAAACCAAAACATTGGAGTCATTACAGGGCTTTAAAAGAAGATAATAGTCAACTGGAATGGGCGTCATAATGAATCTTATTGTCTTTACAGTTGTTGGCTATACTTTCGAACTTGGTACTATCAAGCAAAGCAGAATAGAAGAAAATCAGTCAAAGCAAGATGGTGAGGGCTATACAGGGTTTCAAATCAAGTTAATAGGAAATCAAAGTGGGTTACTATAATGTATCCTGCTATTTTTTATTTTTCCCTTAATTAAAAAGAAAAACAAAAAAGTAAATAATTTAAAAAAAAAGAGACTGAGATAAAAGAGGGCATAACAACAAAACAGCGCAGGTCAAAGCATAACCATTTAAGCAAAATAGTGTTTCACCACAAGACATCCCGACATAAAAGTAGTTACCATAATGTCTCTTTCCTACAAGTATCTTCTGCACTAACCTCTCAAGGGCCCCAGCCCTGTCTGATTGCCTCGGCAACCTTTTCTAGTAGCAAGACAAGGCTAAGGTTTTTCAAGTTCATTCTAAAATTTCTGTGTCTCTGAAGCACACAGGTTAAACTTATACGTATCGCCAGCAACCACAGTTCACATGTTAGTGAAAGCACATCTGTCAACCTACACACACATGATAGAAAAGAAGGGCTAAAATCTGTTAGCATACTCAAAGCACACATGTAAATCATCCCCTGATAGCTGCTTTCCTCTTGAAAGGCAAACAGTTGCAAGCTGTTTCAGCCTGATTTCAGTGAGAAGTGGACTAACAGCTGGTTCTAAAGTTAACTCCCAGTGAGTTGGAGAAAAACTTGGATTTCTAATTTATTAGCAGAGAGTGCACTCAGTTCTCAATAGGGGCTTTAAGAAAGGGCTCTAATCACTGTCTCTGGTCATTCTGGGACAGAGGTTACCAGATCACTGAAAGAGTTAACTCTCACCTCACTGAGGAGTGCAGGTGGGGGTGACAGTTCAGTGGAGATTTTCCTGCTGGTTACCTAGTCAGACTGTCATGACTCAGGTTCTGCTTAGGAACTTTTGGGTATCTACCAAGGAGTAGCCCTGCCCATGACTCCTCAGTTTTCCTCTCAGTTTCCAATGGTCCATACAACCAGGGATTGGTCTCTGGAAGGGAATCCAGCTGCTTGTCTGATCAGTGTTCCATTGACCATTGGCTTCAGTGGGGTTTTGCCGAAGGTGGTAAGTCTGCCCTTTGCTTTAAGAGTGGCAGCTTCTCTAAGAGTATTTAACTAGCTGGCAGAGTGACCACTGTTTGTTAAAGTTCTATAAGGGATAGATAAAAACGTGACCTAAAAATCTTTACTAGATTTCATGTAAGACCCACATTACAGAATTTTATATCAAGGTTCACTAGGGGGTGCTCTAACATTACTCTTCCTAGCTCTGTTTTCTAACAAGTCAAGCAAGGAACACCAATAAATTCAGCAAATAGTCCAAATTCAGTGCATACAAAACAGGCGTCAAATGTCCCATTAAAGAAGCATCATAACCTTACATGTTCTCAACTTAAATTTATCATCATTTTAACAAAACACTAAGCACTTGACAAAGACATAATATAAAAATTCAAAGCATAAAAAATTTTGACGACCTAAATGAGGCACAATCTAGAATCTGCAAAGCAAAAGCAAACTTTTACTTCCACTCAATTACCTTTTTACGAGACCTCGAAATGATATAGGGTGTGTGATACAGGGATGATATAGGACCTACATATAATCCAAATAGTATAAGGGAAATAGAATTCCTGACCTGCTAGATGTCTGATATGCTGAGTTTGTGTTCTCTAAAATCAAAGAATGAATTCTAGCAAGTGGAGGTGCAGAGTAGAAAATAGGAGCCATCGATTTAGCTCAATGTCATAAGCACCTGCCTAGCAAGCTCGAGGTCGAGAGTTCGATCCCTGATACCAAAAAAAAAAAAAAAAAAAAAAAGAAAGTATTGAAAGAAAGAAAGCTTCTGTTTAAGAGGGACAGGAGAAGGTCCCAAGTGGTGTTGTACCCTAAGAAAATAGCTTTGTTATATGTGTATTATAGCAAACCTGTATAGGGGCTTACTAAATGTGTTTGTTTTATCCTTTTTCCCTAACTGATATGTTAAGGGACCTAATTGATCTGTTGAGCAACACTCTCCTCTGTAAATAATTGCAAAAATCTCACCTAATTGATATGTTAACCATTGTTGCTCTCTACAAACTACAGAAGCTGTGCTAAAACAAGCTAACAAGGGTTGTTAATCACTGCTAGGAGCCTCTATTCTCCGCTAAAGAGCTAAGAAAAACTAAAATGGCAATTAATTTACATTTGTTTAAAGTAACCTGCTTGTGTGCAGAGAGATTTGCGTGTGAGTTTAACCCTTTACCCTGACCTTGACACATTACCGCCGTTTTCTGTTCTGTATGGCGCCTTATTGCCTCCCTCTCCCCTCACCTATCTATCTAGGCCATAAAGAATTTGGGTTTCTGGTGACCTCCCCCTGACCCGGTGATGATCTGTTGTAAAATGAGCCTGCCCCAATTTTAAGAACTGCTTAGCTTAAACAAATTACCGGGTAATACTATGGCCCAAACCCCAATCGGTGCTTTCCTTTTGTTCTGTATGTATCAAATGAGTTAGATATCAGGTCTTCGTAAAACTTAAGTTCCAGCGTCTCATAACTTGTGACCCCTTCGCACTCACTAGCGAAGACAAGCTGTCCTGAGATAATTAACTGTCCACTTTCTTCTCCAAATATTGCTGCAGACGTCCCACTCTGAGATAATGTCAGTCTGCAGGATGGAAATAATTTTTAAAAAACACCAGAAACTCCCTAGATTGTCAGAGCTAAGTGGACAGCAATACAGTTTCCAGACTCGGGTCAACAAGTTTGATGGCTCTACAGGTTTCTTTGTTTCTCTCCCCCCGCCCTTTCCTCCAGCCCCTTTTTAAAGTCCTCCCTTCAGCTTCTAGGGGACAGTCTCCAAATTGGCTCCCGGAGACTGGTCGCCAGGCCTGGAAATAAAGCCTTTGCCACTAAATTATCGGTCTCTTGCCTCCTTGGATTTTATACCGGGGCTCAAGTTATAACAGTGGGTGGCCCAGTTGTGAATTTTAGAATGTTTAAGAGGTAGCTGAATTTCTTCTTCCCAAAGGAATAGTTGAAATTTGTTGGGTTCAAAATGGGCACCTCCATGAAGTACCTGCCTCTTGCCTACCTGCAGTAACCTTTCTCTCTTTTGCTGGTCTTCTCTGAAATTGTCCTTATTTTTTAATGATTGAGGGACTCAGTTTGAATCATTGACGTTCATTTTCAGATTATCATTTAAGAAATTAGGTTTTATATTATGTTTGCTCTTACAATTTTTATAGATGTTCTCTTTTACCCCTGTTCCTTCTTTCTTCTTTTTTTTTTTTTTTTTTTTAATTGGTACCAGGGATCGAACTCACAACTGCGTGCTTGCAAAGCAGGCGCTTATGCCACTGAGCTAAATCCCCAGCCCCTATCCCTGTTCCTTCTGACATTCCTATGAGGAGAATAATGTCTTTGATTTTTCTGTCAAAAGAGCCTCTGTGATTCACAGTGGATACGTTCTGTTTCCTTCAATAAATATTTCCTTTACCTGCTTTGTAGTTGAAAGTTTCAGGGCATGAAACATAACCTTGTCATTGACTGAGTATCCAAGAATAACTAAGGAGGCAAAAGTAATAATAAAAGCATAATTTTTAACATTGTGGTACTATATAAAGACAATATTCAGATTATTTTAAATATATCTAATGTCAGTGTCAACCCTATAAAACAGGTACTGTTATCATCTTCATTTTACAGATAGGAAAGCTGAAGGACAGAGTTTTATGTGACTTGCCCAAGGTTATCCTGCTGTGGGGGCCAGGAGAGGAGTTGAACAGGGCAGTCTGGCTTGAGGGTTCAGGCTGTCAGTCACTAAGTTACATTTTCTCTTAAGGAACAAGAGCTTTTCTAAGTATAAGTGAAACTAAGTCTTATATTTCCTCAGGATTTTTGGGGTTTTTTTTTTAGCACATAGCTGCATCTCCAGACCTTTTTTATTTTGAGCCAGGATCTTGATAAGTGACTGCTGAGGTTCTGATTTAGAATGTCTCCCAGGCTGGATTTGAAGAAAGTGATTAGATTAGGCCCTGACCTGGAAGGCTTTATCTCCCTTCCTGGCTCTCACTCTGCTGCCTGGCCACCATGACTTGAGCAGTTTTCCTCTACCTAGGCCCTTACTAGCCATGTACTGAAACCTCTAAAAATTGTGAGCCTAAATAAACCTGTCTTTAAGTTGTGGGTGTTGGGTATTGTGTTGGTGACAAAAAATAACTAAAATGGTTTTTAGATTGCCCTAACTGGGCTTCAATTTATAATCATCCTGCCTCAGCTCCCTGGACTGCTGGGATTATAGGTGTATAGCAGTGCATCCAACTGTAAGTCTTTTTTTTTAATCTAAAATGATCTTGTACTAGTCCTTTCACCCTTCTGTGAAGCTTTTTGTCTTTTATTATAAATTTAACTAGGCTCAGAGTTTTAAAAAATTAAATTTGTATTTAAGAAAAGAACTATGTTGTGTGTTTTTCTTTTCATCAGGAAGTACCATTTCTAAGCCAGATGTGATTGCTTTCCTAGAGCAAGAGAAAGAGCCCTGGATAGGTGTGAGGAAGGAAACAAGCAGGCGATGCCCAGGTAAGTGGGAGTAAGGCAGGCAGGGGAAACCAGCGTCGTCTTAGACAGCTCATGTGGTTTGGCAGACTTCTTCAGGGTGATTCAAGGCCTGATGAAAAGGCATACCGAAGACCTAGAAGGAAGTAAAGCTCCTAGCAGGAACTTTCAAAGAAACTTTGTTTTTAAATGAATCATCTCATTTTTGTTATCTTATTTCCTTCCACTTTTAGTGGAGTAAGTGCCCTCTTTCATTCCCAGTGTTAACTTTTAACAAACATGACTCAATCCAGCTGCTTCAGGTGATTGCTTAATTAATGTATTCTGTATTCAGCCCATGTCTGCCTTTTTCTCAGACTCAACTCCCTGGCGCTCAGTGATAGTGAGGACACCAGAATTAGAATTGCTTATTGGTTTTATCCCACTTAATGTGCAAAACATTCTAAGAACCACAGTGCCAGTATCACAACTGTTACTCTGGAAAACAGTTTATGCCCTCCCCACGTTTTTTCCACTTTTCAGTTTTACTTTATCAATACTTCAAAATACATGGCCATTCTACATTGTACTCTTTTTAAAAATCTTCTCTTAAAGTTAATTGTGTGTGACAGAAACAGTCCATGTAAATGAGAGTAAGCATCTATAGACAATTTGATTATTTTAAGTTTTTATGTTTTGTAAGTAAAGCGTCATGGGAACAATGTTCCTTAAGTGTAAATTGATGACATTTTATAGTCCTTTTTTAATGTAACACTTGAGATCATTCACATGCCATAAAATCTATCCATTTACAGTGTACAATGGGTGGTTTGTGTACATTCATTTCTCCACCTCAGAAGGAAATCCTATGCCCATTAGCGGTCACTGCCTATTTTCTCCCAGTGTGTTTTCTATGACTCAGGCATACTTGTTTTCATTTCCCTGCATTGTTATGTGGAAAATGGTATCTAAACAACAAACAATAATCATTAAATTTCATTTACAGCCATTATCTAGACTTGCCAGTTGCCAATACTTTGCCATATTTGCTGTACTTATGTACATATCTAAACATTTTAAGCCTTTTGTGCTGAACTATGTGATGATCAGTCACTGATGTGACGCTTAGATACCTAAATATTTTGATGTGCGTTTCCTTATGACTGCTGAAATCACTCATAGCTGCTAACATCACTCAAGTGAGATAATCAGACATGAGCCAACCCACTAAAGTTCCATTTCAGGATTATCATCTAAGGTAAAATTTTATTTAAATACATTCATAGAATGCATTCTCTCTTCTCCCCTGACACAGCTAGGGAACTGAAGCTAGGGATTGGCACATGCTGGGCTCGGAGCTATAACCCCTCTGCTTTTTTATGTTTAAATTTTGAGGCAGGGTCTTGCTGAGTTGCTTGTAGCTAACTTCAAACTTGCAGTTTTTCTGCTTCAGCCTCCTAGGTAGCTGGGATTACACAGGTGTGTGCTACCATATCTGTCAGTTTTCACGGTTCATTTGATTTTTTTTTTTTTTTTTTTGGTGAGGTATAAGTGTCCAATCAAAGTTTACAAATTAAGTTGTTAGGTTTCTTTAGTCTTTTGTAATATAAAAGACTGCTTTGCCTTTTTCTTTTCTTTTTCTACTTTTTAAAAATTTCCAAGTCTTAAAGCCTAGCAGCCTTGGGGCTGGGGATTTAGCTCAGCGGCATAAGCACCTGCCTTGCAAGCAGGCAGTTGTCAGTTCAATCCCCAGTACTGATAAAAAAGAAAAAAAAAAAAAAAAGCCTACCAGCCTTGCAAACATTCTGAATTTGTGTGATTTTATGTTCTCCCCACCATGCTTTGGCTCCGAAAACTCCATAGAGGATATTTCCAGGAGTATTATGTGAGGAAGCTCCTAACTTTGTCTCTGTATAGATTATTACAATTTTGTTCAACCATGTATAGTTTTCCATTTCCAAACAAGTGTGTAATCTATGCTACTGACTTTAGCATGAATTTACTATGAGCAGAGAACATACTGCAGGTTGAGCATCTCTCGTCTGAAAATCTGAATCTGAATGTTCCAAACTAAGAAATTTTGAGTTATAGCTGTGACACCACAAATAGAAAATTCCACACCTAACCTTAGATGACAGTAAAAACACATGTGCAGTAAAAGTACTGCATGATATCACCCACAAACTTTGTAAGGTATATGTAAAATTCAAATGAATGTTGTACTTAAACTGGGACTCTTATTTCTAAGTTTATATATATATATAAAACCTGAAGTAGTAAATAAATTATATATATATATATCTTACAAAGTTGGTGGGTAAGTTTTGTTGAGCAAATGAGATTAGAAACTAGGTATATAGTGGTGCATGCCTGTAATTCCAGCTACTTGGGTAGCTTAGGCAGGAGGATTGGAAGGCCAAGGCCATCTTGGGCAATTTAGGGCAACCCTGTCTCAAGATAAAAAGGGCTAGGAATGGAGTCAGTGGTAGAGCACTTGCCCAGCATGCACAGGCTTTTGGTTTATTTGGTGTTTTTTTTTTTTTTTTGTACCAGGAATTAAACTTACTACCTCAGGCTTGCCAGAGACTCTTGATTTAATCTCTAATATAACGACAACAATACCCCAAAAAACTCTGCATTAGAATTGCTGTTTTATAACTTGCCTTTTTCAGTTAGTGATGACCAGCTACTACTATACGGTTCTTTTTACGTGGCAGTTGTTTTACACTGGTGCATTAGTAGCATTACATCCATATATATATATATAGAGAAGACCCCATCACACCATCATGTAATCTTTATTTTCAGTTCACACATGTTCTACAGAACTCAAGAAGAAAAGATGGTCTATTATACTTACCTCAAATATTTACCATTTCTTTTGCCCTTCTTTTATTTCTAGCATTTTACATTTTTATTTTTCTGGTGTCATTTCCTTTTTCTCTGAAGAACTTCATTTAGCAAGTGTTTTAGAAATAGATCTGTCGATAGCAAATTCTTTGTTTTCAGTTATCTAAAATTTTTCTTTCATTTTCATTTCAGGTCAATATTTTTAAAGGATATGTAATTTTAAGTTGAAAATTTTTTTATCACTTTAAAGTAAGCCATTTTCTTTCTCTGCCCATGTAGTCTCTGATGAGAAGCCTTCTGCTGTTGAATCATTATTTCCTTATGTAAGGAATTAATTGATTCCTTTTGGTACTTTTAGGTATTTATTTTATTTGCCTTTTGTTTTTGGAACCTTGTGAAGGTAAGAAATGAGACTTTGGAATGGAAATAAAAGATAGATAATGTATGTGCTTAGCTAGGGCCCAGCAGGTACCACTGCTCGATAAATACTGAGACTTCCACAGTGAGTAGGGTATTTTCTGCAAAGACCCAAATCATAGGATTCCTGGGCAGTGAAACAGTATGAGAAAAGAAAGAAGATATGGGAATAGCTATATCATGTTTTAGGAATTACAGGTAGGTGATGTGATACAAAGAATAGTAGCTTGATGTTCTGTTGTTCTTGGTATTTTTTGAATTTTAAGAGTGAAGATAAACCATTCAAAAAGTTTTTAGTACAGTCATCAAACTTTAATCTGCATCAGAATCAAATATATAGCTTCTTAGGATTTATTCCTAAAAATTCTGATTCTGTGTATGAGTTGCCTGAATGTCAGTGTTTGTAGCAAATGTATCAAATAATCTTGATTCACATTGAATTTCCCAAAGTTAATGTTTCCCTGATAGGAACATCACCATCTCACATATACTTTATTTATTTATTTATTTATTTGGCCTTGAGCTGGCCTTGAGCTCACATTGTAGCCCAAGATGGTCTCAATCTTGCGATGATCCTCCTGTCTCAGCCTCTCAAGTACTGGGATTACAAATGTGAGCCACCATGCCCAGTGTGCTTTATTCTTTATTGATATCCTTGTTCTTTTAATACCTTAAAGCATTTAGAGCTAGTTAGTTCATTCATGTAATGGATTTTGTTTGTGTATGTGCTACAGGAAAATAAAACATAATTACTTTTTTTCTCTTTTAGATTATGGAGCTGAGGAAATACCTCCAGAAAATTATACTTCTGAAATAAATTTATCTAAACAGGGTATAAAGCAAATAAGTAACACTCTTGGCCTTAGGTTTTGCAGTTCTAGAAGTGACTCAAAACACAATTTTGAGAGACTAAATGATGGATCTCAAGAAGAATATATCAATCAAAAGATACTCAGCTATGAGAAACAAAAGCCTGCTTATACCAACTATATTCTTACACACAATCCTGATAAACTATATAAATCTAAGAAATGTGGGAAATCCTTTAGTTGTCACTCAAATCTTATTCAACATCAGAGTATTCATACTGGAGAGAAACCCTATGAATGTAAGCAATGCGGGAAGGCCTTTAGACTTCGTATACATCTTACGCAACATCAGAAATTTCATACTGGTGAGAAATCTTTTGAATGCAAGAAATGTGGGAAAAGCTTTAATCGTAATTCAAACCTCAGTCAGCATCAGAAGACTCATACTGGTGAGAGACCCTTTGTATGTAAAGAGTGTGGGAAGGCATTTAGATTTCCTTACCGTCTTATCGAACATCACAGAAGTCATACTGGTGAGAAACCCTTTGAATGTAAGGAATGTGGGAAAGCTTTTAGAGTTCACTTGCAACTTTTTCGACATCAGAAAACTCATACTGGTGAGAAATCCTTTGTATGTAAGGAATGTGGGAAGGAATTTAGATATCATTACCTACTGATTGAACATCACAGAATTCATACTGGTGAAAAGCCCTATAAATGTAGAGAATGTGGGAAAGGTTTTAATCGTGGTTCAAACCTCAGCCAGCATCAGAAAATTCATTCCAGTGAGAAACCCTTTGTATGTAAGGAGTGTGGGCAGGGCTTTAAATATCATCACCAATATGTCGAGCATCATAGAGTTCATACTGGTGAGAAGACTTATAAATGTAAGGAATGTGGGAAGGTCTTTATTCTTCTGACACAGTTTGTCCAACATCAGAACATTCATACTGGTAAGAAGCCATTTGAATGTAAGGAATGTGGGAAAACCTTCACTTGTGGCTCAAATCTTGCTCAACATCAAAATATTCATGCTGGTATGAAACCATATGAATGTAAGGAATGTGGGAAAAGCTTTAATCGTAGTTCAAATCTCAGTCAGCATCAGAAGACTCATACTGGTGAGAAACCCTTTGTATGTAAGGAATGTGGAAGGGCATTTAGGTATCACTACCGTCTAATCGAACATCACAGAAGTCACACTGGTGAGAAACCTCTTGAATGTAAGGAATGTGGGAAAGCTTTTAGAGTTCACCTGCAACTTTCTCGACATCAGAAAACACATACTGGTGAGAAATCCTTTGCATGTAAAGAATGTGGGAAGGAATTTAAATATCAGTACCGACTTATTGAACATCACAGAAGTCATACTGGTGAGAAACCCTTTGAATGTAAAGAATGTGGGAAGACTTTCAGACTTCATCTACAACTTTCTCGACATCAGAAAACTCATACTGATGAGAAATCCTTTGTTTGTGAGGAATGTGGGAAGACCTTTAGATATCATTACCGACTGACTGAACATCACAGAAGTCATACTGGTGAGAAACCCTTTGAATGTAAAGAATGTGGGAAGACTTTTAGACTTCATCTACAACTTTCTCGACATCAGAAAACACATACTGGTGAAAAATCCTTTGTATGTAAGGAATGTGGGAAGGCATTTAGATATCATCACCGACTTATTGAACATCATAGAATTCATACTGGTGAGAAACCCTATAAATGTAGGGAGTGTGGAAAGGGCTTTAATCGTGCTTCAAACCTCAGTCAGCATCAGAAAATTCATTCTGGTGAGAAACCCTTTGTATGTGAGGAATGCGGGCAGGGCTTTAAATATCATCACCAATGTGTTGAACATCACAGAATTCATACTGGTGAAAAACCTTATGAATGTAAGGAATGTGGGAAGACTTTTAGACTTCACCTACAACTTTCTCGACATCAGAAGATTCATACTGGTGAGAATCCCGTTGAATATAAGGAATGCGAGACTCCTTCAGACATCAGTACTAGCTTACTGAGTATTGGGGAATTTATACTAGTATGAAATCCTATGAATGTGAAGGGAAATTGTTTTGATACTTCATATCTTATTCAGTATTAGAATATTCATATTAGAGAGAAGCTCTTTGAATATGAGAAGAGTGAACAGCTTTTAGTCTTCCCACACAGCTTAATCATTATAATACTCTACAGGTGAGAAACTGAATGAAAGAAATGGGAATCCTTTAATGTGTCAAACCTTGTTTAGCATCAGAGTATTCATATTGGTATGAAATCATATCTGTGGGAAAGGACTTAATCAAACCTTGGCATCAGAAAATTGATACTAGTGAAAAACGTAAGGAATGTGGGAAAGCTTTTAGATATCAAAGACTTACTGAACATCACAGACTTGATACTGGTGAGAATCCCTATGAATATAAAGAATGTGAGGAACCCTTTAGACTTTTTATCAATTCATACAGGTCTGGGACCCTATCATTAAGAATTTGGGAAAGTTAGGGGCTGGGGGTTTAGCTCAGAGGCATAAGCGCCTGCCTTGCAAGCAGGTAGTTGTGAGTTCGATCCCCGGTACCAATAAAAAGAAAAAAAGACAAAAAAAAAAAAAAAAAAATACGGGCAAGTTTACTGTAAATACTTCGTTTTGTTGACACCAAAAATTCGTAATGTCACGAGTCCTATAAATTTATAGAGTGGAGAAGCCTCTGAAAAATTTACTTATCTGAGAATTCATATTGACAAGGAATTCTATGTATAAAAGAACATGGGAAGAACTTTCACCATGGCCTGGGATTCGCTCAATATCAGAGTATACATGTGGCTGAGAAACACCTTAAGTACAAGAATGGGGAGTTCGTAATTAAATTTCAGGTCCAGAGTAGATACTGTTGAAGAAGTCCTTAAATGTGAGGAATATAACCAATTTAGTCCTCCTATTGTATCTTATTCCCCATGAGATATAATAGATATGGTAATTTCATAATCTTAGGAAAACCTTCCAAATACTACGCACTATAGTATATTTGAACTATAGAAAAGTTACTGGAAGAAATGTTTAAAAAGCTTTATCTGAAGCACATTAGTTTTTTAATTTAATTTTTTTTTTTTTTTTTTTTGTCTTTGAGACAGGGTCTCGCTATATGGTTCAGGCTGGCTTGGGCTCACTTTGTAGTCCAGGCTGGTCTCAAACTTGCCACAATCTACCTGCCTCAGCCTCCCAAGGGCTGGGATTATAGGAGTATGCCACCATGCCCAACTTCACCTCTACACGTGACATTTAAACTAGAGGTTTATTTTCTTTTTGAATTATTTGTAAAGTAATAATATCTAGTAGTACAATTATTATAAATATAGTACATGTGATTTTTTTGTAAGTGCATATCGTACAAAACAATGGATTTCACTGAGTTTCATACATGAAAATGAAATGCTTTGATTGTATCTACCTCAATATTACACTTTTTAATTGCCCTCTCCCTTGTTCTTCTTTTCCCTAATTGCCCCCCTTCAGAGAAAATATATCCTTTGAGTTTATTTTGCTTAACAATGATTTCTAGTTCCATCAATTTTTATTCAAATGACATTTCATTCTTTATGGTTGCATGGTGTGTGTTAATCCACTGATGGTCACTTAGGCTGCTTCAAGAATTTGATGCAGGGAATAATCCCATGACAAACATTGATATGTGGTATCTCTTTTGGACGTTGACTTTAACTCCTTTGGGTATATACCAGGAGTTATATAGATGCAACATATAATAGTTCTATTTTTATTTCTAAGGAACTTCTATACAGTTTTATCTAGTGACTTTATATACTCATCATTGTTGTATAGGAGCCCCACATAGCAGTCCTCAGTAGTATGTATATTTTGTTCTCTAGATGATAGCCATTCTGACTAGAAAATCAGTGTAGTTTTTTATTTTCATTTCCATGCTGGCTAAAGATGTTGAACTTTAAAAATATGTATTCCTTCCCACTACTTTTGAGATGTGTAGCTCATTTGCTTATTTATTGAATGGATTACTTGTTCTTTTGGTGTTAAACTTTTTGGATTCTTTATGCATCCTAGATTTTGTATCAGAACAGCTGCCAAGGACTTTCTTCCATTTTGTAGGCTACTCTGTTACTCTGTTAATTGTTTTCTTTGCTGTAATGAAGCAGCTAATGTGATGCACTTGCCAATTCTTATTTTTAAAAATAGCACATATTTATCATACATAATGACTACATTCCTCATAGGGAATTTGTACCTGTGCATAATATATCTACATTTTTATTTCTTTTTTTTTAAATTTTATTTTATTTAAAAGGAAAAAGAGAAAAAACAAAACAAAACAAAGCGGTGTAAGGGTACAAGTAATATAGAACTACAAAAAAAAAAAAAAGTAAGAAATCACCAGTTAATAGATTACATATTATCATCTTAGAGATAGTTGCTCAAGTCACAGTATCAAAGCATACAAAGTGGACATTCAAACAGTGAGACTGCAAACAGTTGTGTTCAATGATCCAACCAAAAACATTAATATGGTCAGCTATTTAACACCCCTAAACACACTTGCTGTTATATCCGTTAGAGCTCTTTTTTTTTCCTCCCTCTCTTTTTTACAACAAAATTTACACATTTTGGATTTTATTACTCCTTAGTTCTTATTACTTTTTTTGGCAGGGGGAGAGAATAAAGTCAAATATGGCAAAACAAAGCTGTCAGTCAAAACCAAGGATATACATAGTACATGATGTTAGAACCGAGTACAAGGTTATCAACAATGGTTACCATAATGTCTCTTGTTTCCTTAAAAAGAATTGTCTATCTCATTAGGTATTATAAAGTTGAACAAAACAGTAGAGAACAAGACCAATAAAACTTAAGCATTGTAAACATTACAGAATTTCCAAAGGAGACAATAGTCAAACCAGAATGGGCATCTTAGTGAATCTTACTGCCTTCAAAGTAGTTGCGTATACCCTCAAACTTGATACTATCATACAGAATGGAACAGAGTCTAATCAGTCAAAACAAGATAGTGGGAGTATTACAGGACTTCAAAACAAGTTAATAGGAAATAAAAAAAGTTACTATTATAAATCCTAATTTAAAAAATTTTTCACCTTAATTAAAAAAAAAACATAAAAAATAACTTTTTTTAAATGAATAATGGAGAGATTGAGATAAAAGAGGACATGACAATATAACAATACAGGGCAAAGCATGACTTTCCAGCAACTTAGTGCTTCACCACCAAATAACCTGACTTAATAGTAGTTACCATAATGTCTGTCTTTTTCCTTGAAAAATTTGAATAAAACTTCATATACTATAGCTTTAAATATTTCCATATCAAGAAGCCCAGAATAAAGCCTTTCCAATTAATAAGTGAAAACTTTATAAGGCTTCAAGGCCACATAATGGGGAATCATGATTACCACATACTTTTATATATTTGAATCATCACTTACATTGGGGAAACTTTGGTATTCACACATGTGAGATTGATTTATTTCACTTATGAGTATGGTCTCAAGCTGCGCCCATTTATTGATGAATATCTCAATGTGATCCTTCTTTATAGCTGAGTAATATTCCACTGTATAGAAATACCACAACTTTTTTATCCATTCCTCAGTTGATGGACACTTGGGTTGTTTCCAAGATCTGGCGATTACAAATTGTGCTGCTGTAAACATAGGTGCACATATATCACTGTGGTATGATGCTTTCAGTTCTTCTGGGAATATGCCTAGAAGTGGAATAGCTGGAATAAATGGGACTTCCAATCCCAGCTTTTTGAGAAATCTCCAGACTGACCTCCACAAAGGTTGCACCAGTCTACACTCCCACCAACAGTGTAGAAGAGTTCCTTTTTCCCCACAGCCTCTCCAGCATTTGTTATTGTTGGTTTTCTTGATCCTGGCCATTCTTTCAGGAGTGAGATGGTATCTCAGTGTGGTTTTAACTTGCATTTCTCTAATGACCAATGATGAACATTTTTTCATGTATTTATTTGCCATTTGTATTTCTTCATCAGAAGTGCCTATTCATCTCAGATGCCCATTTTTGGATTGGACCTTTGAATTTTGGGGGTCTGAGTTTTTTTAATTCTTTATATGTTTTAGACAAGAGTCCCTTGTCTGAGAGAGAGAGTTCACTAAACTTTTCCCAGTTTGTGGGTTTTCTTTTCACTATGCTGGAGATTTCTTTTGACATGCAGAAACTTTTTAGTAAGAAGTGGTCCCAGTTATTGATTCTGGGATGTATTTCCTGTGCAGTTTGAGTCCTCTTCATGAATTCTCTACCTACTCCTATGTCTTCAAGGTTTCTACCCAATTTGTCTTCCAATAGATTTAGTGTTTCTGTTTTAATATTCAGATCTTTGACCCATTTAGATTTTAATTTAGTACATGGTGATAGACATGGGTCTAGCTTTAGTTTTCGGCAAACGGAGAGCCAGTTTTTCCAGCACCATTTATTAAAGAGACTGTCGTTCTTCCAGTGAACCTGCTTGGCTACTTTATCAAAGATAAGGTGGTTGAGTGTGTTTGTAGTTGTGGTTGTATCTTCTAATATATTCCATTGATCTTCGGCTCTGTTTTGATTCCAATACCATGTTGATTTTACTACTGTTGCTTTGTAGTATAACTTCAAGTCAGGGATTGTGATGCCTCCTGCCTTGCCTTTGCTGCTTAGAATTGCCTTTGCTATTCTAGGTCTCTTCTGGTTCCAGATGAATTTTAGGAGTGATTTCTCTAGATCTATAAGATATGTTGATGGTATTTTTTATTGGGATTGCATTGAATCTGTGTAACAGTTTTGGGAGAATGTCCATTTTCACAATGTTTGTTCTTCCTATCCATGAGCAAGGGAAGTCTTTCCATTTTCTGAGATCATCTTCAATTTATTTTTTCAGTGTATTATAATTTTCCCTGTATAGGTCTTTCACTTCTTTCGTAAGAGTAATTCCTAAATATTTCATTTTTTTGCTTGCTAATGTGAAGAGTGTGGTTTCTCTTATTTCCCTCTCTGATTTTGTTGTTCGTGTTTAGGAATGCTATTGATTTCTGAGTATTGATTTTGTATCCAGCCACATTACTGAATTCATTTATTGTATCTAAGAGTCTTTCAATGAAGTTTAGGGGTCTTCTATGTAGAGTATCATGTCATCTGCAAACAATGATAATTTAACTTCTTCTTTTCATATCTTTACCCCTTTTATTTCTCTCTCTTGCCTAATTGCTCTGGCTAGTATTTCCAGTACTATATTAAATAGGATTGGTGATAAAGGACATCCTTGTCTTGTGCCTGATTTTAAAGTAAAGGCTTTCAATATTTGGCCATTTAGTATGATGCTGGCTGTTGGTTTGTCATAAATGGCCTTTATTATATTGAGGTAAAGACCATCTATTCCAATTTTCTGTAAAGTTCTTATCATGAATGAGTGTTAGACCTTATCGAAGGCTTCTTCTACATCTATAGAAATGGTCATGTGATTCTTACTTTTGCTCTTTGTTGATATGGTGGATTACATTTATTGATTTATGTATGTTGAACCATCCTTGCATTCCTGGGATGAATCCCACTTGGTCATGGTGTATAATCTTGATGATTTGCTGCATCTTATTTGCCAATATTTTATTGAGGATTTTTGCCTCTGTGTTCATTAGGGAGATCGGTCTATAGTTCTCTTTTTTAGTTGGGTCTTTCTCAGGTTTTTGTACTAGAGTAATATTTGCTTCCAGGAATGACTTAGGAAGGATTGCTTCCCTTTCAATTTCATTGAATAGTTTGAGGAGTGTTGGCATTAGGTCTTCTTTGTATTTCTTTTTCTTTTCTTTCTTTTTTTTTTTTTTTCTTAAATCAGTACCAGGGATCGAACTGACGGCTGCGCACTTGCAAGGCAGGTGCTTATGCCACTGAGCTAAATCCCCAGCCCTTTCTTTGTATTTCTTGTAGAATTCTGCAGTGAATCCATCTGGGCCTGGGCTCTTCTTGGTGGGTAAGGACTTAATTACATTTTCAATTTCATTAATAGAGATTGGGTTATTCAACAGTTTTACATCCTCTTGATATAGCTTTGGTACTTCATATGTTTCTAAGAATCTGTCTATTTCTTCTGTGTTATCAAACTTTTGAGAGTAGAGGTTTTCGAAATAGGTGTTGATGATCTTCTGTATTTCTATTGGGTCTGTAGTGATTTCACCTTTTTCATTTCTTATTGCATGAATTTGAGCTTTTTTTCCCTTTTTAAAATAAGGTTGGCTAGGGGCTTATCAATTTATTTATTCTTTCAAAGAACGAACTCTTTGATTTGTTTCTTCTTTGCATTGTTTTCTTAGTCTCTATTGCATTGACTTCTGCTCTGATTTTTATGATTTCCTCTCTTCTTTTGGCTTTGGGCTTGACTTGCTCTTCTTTTCCTAACTGTTTGAGGTGGAACATCAAGTTATTTATTTGTATTCGTTCTGTTTTCCTGATGTGGGAACTCACTGCAATAAATTTTCCTCTGAGGACAGCTTTCATTGCATCCCACAAATTCCGGTAAGTTGTATCTGCATTTTCATTTTCTTTTAAGTATTGTTTAATTTCTTCTGTGACATACTGATTACTGAAGAGTGTGCTATTCAGTTTCCATGTGTTTGCGGGATTTTTGCAGTATCTTTTATCATTAATTTCTAATTTCAGAGCACTATGATCTGATAACATGCAAGGGATGATTTCAGCTCTTTTGCATTTGTTTAAATATGTTCTGTGAGCTAATATATGGTCTGTTTTAAAGAATGATACATGTACTGCTGAGAAGAATGTGTATTCTGATGTTGTTGAGTGGAACATTCTGTATATGTCTATCAAATCCATTTGTTCGTAGGTGTGATTCAGTTCTGTTATTTCTTTGCTCATTTTCTGTCTGGTTAATCTGCCCCTTGGTGTCAATGGTGTATTAAGGTCTCCTGTTACAATTGTGTTATTGATAATTTGAGTTTTCGTTTCTGTTAATAGTTGTTTTATATAACTGGGTGCTCTGGAGTTTGGTGCATATATATTTAAGATAGTTATCTCTTCCTCTTGGAGTTTTCCCCGTATGAGTATGTAGTGATCTTCTTTGTCCTTTATGGTCATTGTTGGTTTAAAGTTCACGTTGTCTGCAAACAGAATGGCTACTCCTGCCTTTTTT